GCCTGAGGATATTAGCACATACAAAGCAACTGGGAGGACTGGAAGGAAGGGTGGTGTTTGATCTGTCTTGACTGGAAATGTGTCCTCTTCTCCCAGTGGTTTGGGTTCTCAGCCCTGATTGACAGCCTTGCCCTTCACTCAGCGTGGGAAGTTCCCCCCCCCTTTGGTTCTTGCAAAACGAAATGTAGCCGACGTAAGGGACTTGAATTTTTTTTTCCGCTCCACTGTAACTTGCAGGTCCTGAAACCTTGAACCACAGTCTGTCTTGGATTATCCCGGTTGGTTCCTTTTTTTGGGCGAGGGGTGGGGGATGGAGATGGGAGGGGAGGGGGTGGAGAAGGACGTGGAACGTGAAAAATTCCATGCCTCCACCCCTTAGTTTCTTTTTACTTGTGACAATGTCATTAATGATGCTCGAACATTGAAATGAGTTGTAAACAATACGGAAACGGAGGGAGAAATCACAAATCTAGTTGAGCTCCAGGACATTTAGATTTTATGAAGCATTTTTTTTTAAATGCCAGCTCATCCTTTTTAGACAAATGTTGGTTGACATGGTAATAAAATCATCTTACATCGTTGACTCCTGCTTCTTCAGAAAATAACCTGGAAAAGTAGTTTCAAACAAAACACACCCTATGGTGCTTTAGATCTGCTTGGATTACTCTTATAAAATGTTTGGATTGCAAATAAAACTGTCGCTTTTAGGAAGACAAGTGCAATTGCTTTAGTGTCATAATTAAGGCTTAAATTTCAAGATAAATACTGTTTATGATAATGAAGATGGAGGGAGTTTATGAGTTCTTTGCTAGTCACAAGCATTAACAGTTCTGGCCTATGAATCATTAACAGATTATTATAATTATACTAGAGGCCTGGTGCAGGAGATTCGTGCACTGGGGGAGGGGGAGGGGATTCCTCAGCCAGGCCTTCGCCCTCTCTCAGTCCTGGACCCCTTGGGTGGGGGGGGGGGGGATATGTCGCCTGCCTGCTTAGGCCATCGCCCCAGCTCCCCAGCCTCCCATCCCTCTCGCAGTCGTCGGGGACCCCTTGCACCTTACTGTTCACCTGCAGCAGAGGTGGGAGAGGAGGGAGAGGTTTGAGCCGGGCTTCTGGCTGAGCAGCCCTCCACCCTGTGGGCAGCTCCTGTGTTGAGCATCTGGTCCCTGGTGGTCAGTGTGCATCATAGCAACCAGTCCTTCTGCTGTTTGGTTGATTTGCATATTAGGCCTTTATTATATAGGATTAATAGGTAATATGTAGTTATGGTACTTTGTACTTACCTAGTTATTAATAATAGTAAAGGAGCAAAGGGAAGGCCAGACATTACAGGCATGTTCCCTGCAAAACATTAGGAGAAGGGGACCCTTCAAAGGGAAGATAGACATGTCCAGTAAAGTTGGGGTGGCAGGGAAGGTGTTGTCTTTCAATCACACCTGGGAACAGAGGTCTTGGCCAGAATGGGTGTAGCCACTGCCAGCATGCAGACCTTGGGGAAATACAATCCCTTGAACAAAGAAGCTTGCTCTTATGTTCTTGGCCCTCTTGGGGCTCATGTGACGCTGGCTTGTGCTCTGCTCCCCTGCATTAGCCCCACACAGTGGACTAATGGACTGCAGCCAGCCTGATGCCGACTGGACCCAGCTCCAACATGGAAAGGAAACTGTGGACACTGGCTTTCCTTCTAGCTTTCCTGACTCCCCAGCTACACTTCCACAACTGGACTAAGGGACATGGGGCTTTAGAACCCCAGGAACAGAATTCCACGGAGATAAAGCTTTCTACCATATCTCACCCTCCCGTGGGGGCCTTCCAGCGGCACCCCAAGGACCTCACTCCCACTAGCAGTGGGAGAAGACGAGGCACATTTTTCTCCAGTAACAGTTATATGTAATTACAACAAATACATATTTAATAATTATATTATTATAGAGTATTATATATATACTCTAACATTTGAGATGTAATATGGGAAGATTAATGACCAAAAAAGCTGTCCTTCATCTGGTCCAGTTTTTATTATTTCTTTTTTTTTCTTTTTTTTTATTGCTTAAAGTATTACAAAGGGTATTACATATGTGTCCTTTTTTTTCCCCGCCCTTGACAATCCCCTGGCCTCCCCTACCCCCCAGTGTCTTATGTCCATTGGTTATGCTTATATGCCCAGTTTTTATTTCATGGTTTAACCATATATATGCTTGTATGTCTCCTCATATTGCAGTTGACACATTATTCTTTTTTTTTTTAATACATTTTATTGATTTTTTACAGAGAGGAAGGGAAAGGGATAGAGAGTTAGAAACATCGATGGGAGAGAAACATAGATCAGCTGCCTCCTGCACACTCCCCACTGGGGATGTGCCCGCAACCGAGTACATGCCCTTGGCCAGAATTGAACCTGGGACCTTTCAGTTCGCAGGCCGACGCTCTATCCACTGAGCCAAACCGGTTAGGGCAGACACATTATTCTTGATAGTGTATGAAAATAGATGTGCTGTCCAGGGCATTGTTACCATAGTCTGAAAATTGAGTAGGTAAACTCGTATAAGCTTGCTTTAAACACAGGTGTTTTGCTTATGATTATAATTGGATTGTGTACGGGTTTCTTTGAGGGACTGAAGGGATGGTATTACATGAACCTACACCAGACTCAAAACCATATGTAGTTAGAAGTAAGCATCCTATTAACCAGACCCTCAGTTCACCTTTTCAGAAGCAATGATCTTTTTTTAATAAAAGCTTGTCTCATAGAAGCTTTTTTTTCTGATACTGATTTATCAGAAAATTAGTGTAATTGTGCACAATATCTGCTGCATAATTGGTTTTTATAATAGATAACAAGGTATCTAACAAAAAGTGGGGAAAGTAGGTAAAACTGTTACAGCAGTTAAAGACATCTAAGAATGTCTTAGGAGGGAAACAGATAATTAGGCATTTTTTACCCCAAATTTGTATTTGTAATCAGTGTGACTAACAGAGAGTCTAAATTATTTTTGTAGATTCTTTTTAAAAGAGGAAGTTAAATTAACTTCCTAATTATTATTATTATTTCTTTTTATTTTTTAGAGAGAGTGTGGAAGGGAAGGGGGGGAGGAGAGAGAGAGAGAAACTGTTAAAGAGACACATCAATTGGCTGTCTCTTGCATCCACCCTGACCAGGGCCAGGAATCGAGCCTGCAACCAAGGTATGTGCCCTTGACCGGAATCAAACCTTGGACTCTTTAGTCTGCAGGCCGACACTCTGTCCATTGAGTCATACTGGCTAGGGTCTAATTATTTTATTTCCACTGCTCTACTTTATTTAGCAGAATATGTGCCATTCACTTTTATTGGTATAATCCCACTTTAAAGTAAACTGTAGGTTTACTAAAAAAAAATAAAATCACTTCTTTTAATATTATCTTCACCTTTAAAATAAGATTTTCATAACACCCTTACCCTCTCTAGGAGAGGAATCTATCTAAAATCTCTTGACTAACAATGAATATCATGGATATCTTTGAAATATGTTCTTACCATTTATTATAAAATCAACTACTACTTGTTATGTCTTAGAAAACTTGGAATTCACAAAGCAATCTTGTTTTACCATGTTTTCCCCATTATTTCATTTCTTGAAATGTTCCATCCTTTTGTGCCAGGATGATGGAACAATCGTTCAGATAGGGTCACCCGGTCTCCAATCTGAGAGTGAGACCTAATTTCAAACCCTAATAGAGTAGATAAAAAATTAAGAGACCCTGCCCTGGCCGGTGTAACTTGGTTGGAGCCTCATCCTATACAGCAAAAGGTGGCAGGTTCGATTCCTGGTCAAGGCACATATCCAGGTTGTAGGTTCAATCCCCAGTCGGAGGCAACTGATCACAGCGATGTTTCTCTCTCTCCCCTCTCTCTTAACAAAAAGGGGGGAAGAATTAAGGAGCCTCTATGGTTCCAGCTGGGAAAACAACTTAGGTAGATAAAGTGAGTTGAAACTATACAATGAATATTGTACCAAGTGTGTGGCATGATTTTGTTGTTTACAGACTAAAAGCCAACATTTTGGGGTTTGGGGAGATTCCGTTTGTGCCAGAACTTTCTAAGCCTAACTGTAAGCCGTTATTTTAGTTACGGTGCTTAAGAAGCTTGTGTGTGTGTGTGTGTGTACATGTGCATGTGCATTTCAGGAATATTGTAAAGTGGTAGAGCCTTCTCAAGTGTGATAGTTATTTTACAATCTCTATCATTTGTTTCCTCTTCATTTATAATATAATCTAAATCACATCATTTTTGTCTTTTTAGATACTTAGCTTCCTGTGGTATACTGATGAGCAGAACTCTTCCACTACATACCTCAGTTTTGCCCAAGGAGATATATGCAAGAACTTTCTTCAAAATTGCTGCACCGTTAATAAACAAAAGAAAGGAGTATTCAGAGAGAAGAATTATAGGGTTTGTATATAGTAACAGTTGTACTAAAGAGCACTTTCTTTTCTATTGAGTACTGCGCCTCTTTTTCTGGATTCTCTGCTTATAGGCTAAGTCCTCGGTTTTTTAGATTGGCCTTTCCATAGCCATTGCTTTTTGTAAATATATTTTGAGTGGATATAATTATATGTAAATATAATTAATTATATTTCAACCTTGACATGTAAAGAAAATAATTAAGCTGTTATGACCTGCATTAGTATTGTACATTATTCTTTTCTATTGTGGCACAATTACTAATATCTAAGCCCCAAATATGTTTAACTAGCTCCCTCACATACACACATACAGAGGTAAGTACATACGGACATACAAAGAGGCCCCTACAATCTAGAACCTTTTCTATAAAGGGCCAGATAGTAATATGTGGGACTTTGTGGGCCACACTATCTCTGTTGCAACTACTCAACTCTCATTGTAGCCCCAAAGGAGCCACAGAAAATCTGTAATAGATAAAAGGGCATGGCTACGTCCTAATAGAACTTCATTTACAAAGACAAGCATGGGGCCTGATCTAGGGGTATATGTTGCGTAGGATAGAGATTCTGCAGTTCTGCCAAACCAGAAATACAGCATCCATCGTGGAAGTTTCTACAAGGCGGTCCTAATTCCACACAGGCCATTATGCAGTACAGAATTCTTGTAAAAGTGCATTTTATTCATTTATTCAGTTGCTTTTTTTCTTCTGATTTTTCTCTAGTAAAGGGCTTTCTTCTGACTCATAACTTTTGTCGCTAAATTATCTTTATTACTGGCTAGTCACTAATAGTTAAGGTATTGCTAGCAGGTGTACGGGTAAAACCCAAAAGTTTATTTCTTTCTCATGTAAAGTTCAAGTGGGCATTCCCAGTCCATGAGCAGCAATCCTCCCAAGTCATGATTCAGAAACCCAGGCTCCATCCAACTTGTGACTTTGGTAATTTCTTAGTCAACAGAGTCTTTCTCTTTTTTTATTTTATTTTTCAACTACAGTTTACATTCAGTATTATTTTTATTAGTTTCAGGTGTAGAGCGTAGTGGTTTGACAATCATATACTTCACAAAGTGGTACCCCCAAAATTTCAAGTGCTCACCTGGTACCATACATAGTTATTACAATATTATTAACTATATTCCCTATCCTGTACTTTACGACTCTGTGATTATTTTGTGACTATCAATTTGTAATTCTTAATCCCTTCACCTTTTTTACCCAGCTCCCAAGCCCCCAACCCTCTGGAAACCATCAGTCTGATCTCTGTATCTATGCGTCTGTTTTTATTTGTGTTTTTTAAAAACATCTTTATGCCCTAACCGGTTTGGCTCAGTGGATAAAGTGTCGGCCTGCGGACTGAAAGGTCCCAGGTTCAATTCCGGCTAGGGGCATGTACCTTGGTTGCGGGCACATCCCCAGTGAAAGGTGTGCGGGAGGCAGCTGATCGATGTTTCTCTCTCATCGATATTTATGGCTCTCTGTCCCTCTCCCTTCCTCTCTGTGAAAAATTAATAAAATATATTAATAAAAAATAAAAACATATCTTTATGATTTCAAAGAGGAAAGGAGAGGGAGAGAGAAAGAGAAAGATCAGTGACGAGAGAGACTCACTGATTGGCTGCCTCCTACTGGGGATTGAGCCCATAACCTGGGTATGTGCCCTGACTAGGAATCAAACTGTGACCTCCTGGTTCATAGGTCGACGCTCAACCACTGAGCCATGCTGATTGGGCATGAAATGTGCTTTTTTAATATAACAATTTTTTTAAAAATATATTTTATTGATTTTTCACAGAGAGGAAGGGAGAGAGATAGAAAATTAGAAACATCGATGAGAGAGAAACATCGATCAGCTGCCTC